GCAGGGTGGGTTCTCACCCCTGCCCCTGCGCTGCGTGGAGGTGGGAGCTAATGAGCAGGGATGCTTCTTGCAGTGTTTGCTGAGTCAAAGGTGATGGGAGGAAGAAACACCTACTGCAGCAGGAAGCTTTCACAAACTTTTCCTGGCTTCTCCGTGAGTTTGTTTTACAGGGGGCTTCCGCTTGATGCAACATTTCGGGTTTTAGCACGTGTTCGGCTATACCAGTCTCTACAAAACTGGCTCTTGAGTGGCAGAAAGAAAAGCAAACTTAAGTGACTTGTGTATAAAAATAACTGCAGAGTTATCACCTCATCTTCAGTGCACCAATGCCAACCAAGCAGGACAGCCATATGGACACTAACATGCACTTAGGAGATTTCTATGGGAGACGTCAGTGGTTCTTCTTTCCCAGAAGGGAGGCTTCAGGAGGGTTCGCTCTTTCCGTGATTCACATTTGAACCCTGCACGTAGTGCTCAAAGCCCATGGCTTGCTCCAGAGGCTGCCCAAAGGCAGTGAAAGAGTTTTACCTCCGGAGCGGCACCCCTGGGCGATGAAGTGGATAAGCAGGCACTCCATTCATCTGCTGCGCTGGCACTGCCTGCCCTTGCGCTGCTGCAAGGGCTCAGGAGCCCTGCTGGCCTACGTGGGATCCGGGGAGGGCGGCTGGGCCGTCCCAGGGCCCTGCTTGGCAAGCAGTGAGGGCTGCCCGCTGCGACGCACCCGCTGCAGAAAGTGAATCCGTACGTTGCCCAGGCCCACCTCCTGTTTCAACAGGGGAAAAAAGTTTTGTTGGTTTTTTTGGTTTTTACTTGCCTTGTAATCTCTGGGAGCACAAGACTTGAAGGTGCCGTTTAACCTGGGCTGGACTGTGGCGTCTAAACAAACAAGAGTCCACTTTGGGAAAGGTTTTGGGTTTTTTTTTAATTATTTTTCAAAAGCTGCAGCTGGAGCTACCTAATGCAAACACTTGGGGAGGAGAAACATGAAATGCTGAGGACTGAGCCTAATTATTGGACGCCTCCTGCCCGTAGCCCTGTTGTGGCGAGGCACGCACTGAAGCAGTAGGAGTCAGGGCTACCAACGTCTGGATTTATGACGAGCTCAGCTACTCCTGGTGCCATTCATTTCCGCACCGTCCAATGTTTCCTCCTCCCGCCCGAGGAGAGGCTGTGTTCATGCGGGGGCTGCAGCTACGCCATAACACCCTGCGTCCCGGACACCACACGGTGTGTCCCATGCCACTTTGGGGGCGAATTAGACATGGGGAGCGGCTGCAACCGGCAGGGCAGGTGCCACCCTGCACCCCGGGAGGGCGAGCAGGTGGCTGGGTGTCCCCGGAACAGCGTCCCATCCCGTCCCGTCCCACCGAGAGCAGCCACCTCGCCAGCAGGACGGATGAGCAGGGGGCTTGGCCCGGTCGCAGACGGAAAGGATCCAGGGGCTCTGTTGACATAACAAGCCACTAGAGAGCAGTCTCAAATGTATTTATACCCTTTGCCTAAGTGCTAGTTCATAAAAACACGCGGTTGCCATGGCCTGGTTTACAGCACATCTAAAAAGAGCTCCCAAACATACCAGGTTTTCTGAGGCCACCGCAAAGGCGGTCAAAGCCTCCCTTGTGCGGCGCCTTTCCCACTCCCTGGGACCCGGGCGCAGGGCAGCACCCGCTGGCTCCGCACACCCCCTCTTGCCCCGCACTGCTGCCTGCTTACAAACAAATGTCAGAAACGGTATTAAAAAAAATAATTAAAAAAATATTGCACTTGGGCAACTATAGCTTTTTCAAGTTTGGGGGTTTTTTTATATAGAAAAAAGCACAAGAAGTATTTAAAGCTCCTAGTTTCCTTATATTTAGTGCCAGAAGTAAAAAGAAAATATGTAAAAATGGCAACAGGTTAGTTCAGCAGCTATCAACAAAAGCACCGTGCAGGTGATCTGCCAGGAAAAAATATCTTGGAAAAAAATGTGATGGAAGTGGGTTTGGGAAAAAAAAAAAAGGCACACAGTCTTCATTAAAACACTTTTAATACTACACAAATTACAGTATCACCTTTTAAAAAGTTTAAAAAGGAATATTAACAGTAGCACTGTTGCAGCTAAAGCACTTCAAAATAATAATAAAAAAAAAAAAAAGAAAAAAGCTTGTAGCCTAGGAAGTAGTAAACTGGTAACTGGTATAAAGGGAGAACGCACCAGAGCGTTATTGTAACTCAGTAAAGCAACAAAAAAGAAAAAAGCAACATTGAGCGTAAGCAAAATGAGCTATGTATGAACACCCTCAGATTTTAAACTTTTTTCCTTTTTTTTTTTTTTTTTCCTTTTGCAGTTCTGAAGTTTCACGGTGCAGATTAGACTTGGCCGAGGTATGGGGGCTGAACGTCAGCTGAGCAAGCGCGGCCACCGCGAGCCATTTCTTTTCCAGCTACGCTGCTCCTGGGCCAGCGCCTGGCATCACCGGCCGGGGAGCCTCCATCCTCTCCAGGAGCCGCAGAGCTGGGGGAGCAGGCAGGCGGCGGGGAGGAGGAGGAAGGCCCGCTTCCTTACGGGCCTCTCCGCCCAGTCACACCAGCGTCCCTCGGCCCCAAAACAAGGGTTTGCTTTGTCAGGAGCAGGTCTCACCCTCGGCAGGCTCAGAGCTGGGCCACCTGATAACACAAAAGCGGGGGCCTTTTTAGGGAGGCTTTGGGGTTTCGGTTTTGCTTCTTTTTTTTTTTTTTTTTTAAGAGTAGGGATACCACCTTCATCAAAAACATGAGCTTCATCCCACGTGAGGTATTATGCCAAGCAACTTTGAAGAACTTGTTACCATCTATCAGCTCAAAATCCATTTTTTTTAATAAAGTGCCTAAATACACATTTACACAGATCATAGTGGTTCCAAAGAATCCTTTACAGTTTTTTTTTTTTTATATATAGGTATATATATAGGTGTGTATATATATATAATGTGCGTTTTCTTCAAATTGGCTAAATGTGTTTACATAAGACACCAATCTTGACTATAGGTATAAGTTTTAAAGCGTAATATTGACTCAATGAATTTGTTTATCATGCAAGTCTTATCTAGTATTACATTGACCTGTAATATGGAACACAATGTAGTGGGTGTGCTCATTAAACACTTCATAAAAAATTACTGTGCATGTGCAGTTCTGATCTTCAAATACTAATAATGACCATTTCTTTTAAAAAAAAAAAAAAGAAAAAAAGAAGTCTTCCAAAGAAGACCTACTCTGCATTAGATTGCAGTCTGAACATTATCACAATAAGAACAGTTTTAAAAAACACTCAAAATACTAATAATGACCATTTCTTTTAAAAAAAAAAAAAAGAAAAAAAGAAGTCTTCCAAAGAAGACCTACTCTGCATTAGATTGCAGTCTGAACATTATCACAATAAGAACAGTTTACTAAAAAGCACCAAAAATTCTTCAAATTACAGCCAGCTGAAAAGATTTTTTTCCTCCTCCTCCTCTTCGATACTGAAAGTGTTTATTAGCCCGTCCCCGGGAAGGGACGACCTCGCCACCCTTTTGCTCAGAAACAACCGCTTATAAGTGAGTTATAAACACCTCAACAGAAGGGCTCGTACAGCTGCAGCGTTGCCAACGAACTATAAACAGCACAAAAACATCACTATAAGACTCGAACTACTTCTAGTAACCAATGATTTATTGATTTTAGAAGTCTGCTTGGTGATGCAGAAGCGTGATCAAAAGAAGTGGCTTTACAAAAGAGTTCTCCAAAGTAGCTTAAAAGGCAGGGCCAGGGCCATTATGTGCAGCCCTAATTGCTTTCATTTCAACCAGTTTATATTTTCATTTTCAAAGAATAGCAGTAGGTTTGTTTCAAGCACACGTAATAAGGAAATTACAGGTTTCCTCCACCCACATTCGGGCTGTCACTGATATGCCCGTGGGCAATCTGGCAGAACCTCAGTCACCGCTGTCACTGTACCACACCATACCTGCCACTATTTGGAAACACCGGGTCAGCGATAGTAACAATAGCAACAGCACTAGAGGTGACTGATAAGCAAACTCAAAGTCCACCTGCACCATCTGAAAATTAAAGTAAAATTTATAAAAAAAAAAAAAAAAAGTCTCTCCCCCACCTCCCCAGCTTTGTCCAAAGACACAAAAGCCCCAGAAGTGACGCTGAAGACCTTCAGAGATGGCGGTGCTACGTTGGCGCCTTTGCCAATCGTATAATTAAGTTCGTTATCAAAATTCCACGTTATGGTATGTAATTGGTGCATCAATGCAGTTTTGTAATCTTACAACTGATCACGTGAACTGCGGTCAACTTTGCCTTAAAAAAAAACAAAAAGCCACCAAACCAAAAGCAAACAAACCCAGAAATCCCTAACTCAACAGCGCCTCTGGGACACCTCTCCACATCCTACTCTGGAGGCAACTTCCCTTGAGAAACACGGAGGAATTTGGGACTGCATCTGCCGGATCTGTCATCGCAACCCGAGCCATGCGTTTCTGGGAGAAAGCCCTCCTGCTCCCTAAGCTCCGGGATGGCGAAGGGCATCCCCGCCGCGGCTAGCCATTCTTCTCCCCAACCGCCTCAGACCAAGCCTGCATGCGACCAGCTCTACAGGACAGGGGCCAGGAATAAGGAATCACAGACAGTAAGGCAATCTTTACAATGTCAGAAAGTGTATTTGGCATTTAAAAAAACAAAAACAAAAAAAAAAGAAAAAGAAAAAAAAAAGAAACAAGTGCATACAAATACAGCTAGAAGCATTTCTGGTTTGCCAAGTGCTCTCTAAAAAAAGCAGCGCAAGTCACAGCCTACATTGAACAGTAACTGTCACCAGGGAAGCACAACAAATAGTTGCTATAACAAAAGGGAAAAAAGAAAAAACAAAACAAAACAAACAAACAAAAAAAAACCCAAAAACAAAAAAAGGAGAAGAATTAGAAGAAATGCCTTTATAATAAGTACATACCTTTTGTCTTCAAAAAATATAGAAACACAATGTATTCAAAAAAATCAAAATTATACAGCCATGTTTATGAAGTCTACATTTCCCTTGTCTTGGAGATATATATATATTTATATATATATATTTATAGATATATACAGAATTCGAGCAGTTCGAGTTCAAGGTGACGTCGGGCGGCGAGAGCGGGCCAGTCACGAGTCCCTCTCCTTTTTCACTTTCACATCTCCGGCCAGGATGGTGGCGATCTCCCCCTGCATGAAGGCCCAGGGGACGTTGGAGCCGACCAGGGGGCACTTCTCCCCGCTGGGGCAGTACACCTCCCCGCTGGCTCCCTGCTGCTTGATGCTCTGCCGGGAGCAGGGGAAGCAGAACTTGTGGGAGGGGACGGAGGGGCACTGGACGAAGTGGGTGTCTTCCAGGCGCTCGTGGCAGAGGGTACAACACAACGGGACGCTGGCGGCGAGGGACGAGTCCGGCAGGCTGGCGGGGTGGACGGGCTCC